TTTTTTTTTTTTTTTTTTTTTTTTTAGAACTCTAACTTTAAATGCGCCAGAAATGTTAGTTGAAATCAAGCTTGTTCAACATAATCACAAAATATTTAATATAAACATATTTATTAGATAATTTATTAGGAATCAGACTCTCCATAATAACCTAATATGGTTCGAATATAAGCTCTCGTAACTTATACTCTCCATAACTTTTGCTTTGTACTTTCCAAAAGACTTCATATCAATAAAGATGTATTCCTTTCTTTATAAACCGATTCCTAAATTAGCCATTGTGGAACTCAATCCCAACCATCTTCTCATGGCAATACATTGCTTTGTTGAGGCTTTGCGAATGGAGAAGGGCGTCCGGTGAACGGTATCAAGTTTACGAGCTTGTTTCGAGTTTGAAATCTCAATTGGGCATTCGGCTTGGTAATGTTTTGTTGAGTTTGTTCGTCAGGTTTGGTAATTTAAGTGATGCCTGGAATGTGTTTGATAAAATGTCTGAGAGGGATGTGTTTTCTTGGAATGTGTTGGTGGGTGGGTATGCTAAAGCGGGGTGTTTTGATGAGGCTTTGAATTTGTATCATAGAATGTTGTGGGCTGAAATTAGGCCTGATGTATATACTTTTCCCTCTGTTTTGAGAACTTGTGGTGGCGTTTCTGATATAGCTAGAGGTAAAGCTATTCATGCGCATGTCATTAGATTTGGATTTGAGCCGGATGTGGATGTGAGTAATGCTTTAATCTCTATTTTCATGAAATGTGGCTACTTTAGTAATGCAAGGAAACTGTTTGATAAAATGCCGAAGAGAGATCGTATTTCGTGGAATGCGATGATTTCGGGGTACTTCGAAAACGGAGAGGTATTGGAAGGATTGAGGTTGTTTTTCATTATGCGTGAGCTTTCGGTTGACCCCGATTTGATAACTATGACTAGTGTAGCATCTACCTGCGAGCGTCTTGGCGACGAGAAGTTAGGGAGAGAAATTCATGGATATGTAGTTAGGTTGGAGTTTGGGTGAATACTTCTTTGATTCATATGTATACATGTCTGGGGCATTTGGAGGAAGCAGGGAAAGTCTTTTCCCGGAAGGAGTTGAAAGACACCGTATCGTGGATGACGATGGTAGCAAGCTATGACCATCACAAGCTGCCTTATAAGGCTATGGTAACTTATAAAATGATGGAGATAGAGGGTGTTTTGCCGGATGAGATTATGTTAGTTGGTGTATTATCTGCTTGTGCTTGTTTAGACTATTTGGATTTGGGTATTAGGCAACATGAGATTGCCATCAAGACTGGCCTCATATCACATGTCATAGTCTCAAACTCTCTCATTGATATACCTCCATGGCCTTAGAAGTATTCCACAATATCTCAGGAAAGAATGTCGTATCTTGGACTTCACTTATCCTCGAGCTAAGGATCAATAACAGAAGTTTCGAGGCGCTGTTTTTCTTCCGTTAGATGAAGGAATCAACAAAACTGAATTCTGTAACTCTGATTACCGTCCTATCAGCATGTGCTAGAATAGGAGCTCTAATGCGTGGAAAAGAAATTCATACACATGCTCTACGTACTGGCGTCGGGTTTGAAGGCTTTTTACCTAATGCTATTCTAGACATGTATGTAAGATGTGGAAGGCTGGTCCCTACACTAAACCATTTTAACACTCAAAAGAAAGACGTTACGGCGTGGAATATACTCCTTACAGGTTACGCCGAGCAGGGACATGGCAAGCTTGCTATTGAGCTATTCAAAAAGATGCTTGAATCCGAACAAAATCCAGAAAGACTACCTTTATTTCGCTATTATGTGCCTGCAGCAGGTCAGGTATGGTTATGGAAGGTTTGAAGTATTTCAATGTAATGACAACCAAGGTTAATCTAACTCCTTATCTGAAGCATTATGCTTGTGTGGTCAATCTACACGGGCGTGCTGGTCGGCTGGACGATGCTTAGGATATCATATAGGACATGCCAATTAAGCCAGATGCAACTATATGAGGAGCCTTGCTAAATGCTTGCAGAATTCACAGAAGCATTGAGCTTGGAGAACTTGAAGCGACAAGTGTTTTTGAAAACGACGATAAAAGCATAGTCGGGTACTATATTCTTCTCTGTATAGGATGATGAGAGTACTTTGGGGATTCCTATATAATCTTCATCGTCCATGGCAACGACGTTCGAACAGCGAATGAGCGCTTCCTGATTGCTCGAAAAGTGTACTCGACTTACGTGCCATGCCAAACTTGAGGAAGCCAGTTAAGTTTCACTCTGATGGCTGAAATGACTATGTGTGGTGTTGCCATAGAACTTTGTTAAGGTAAGCCTTCTGCATTAGCACATTGAAGCATTCATGTCAATACTCGTCAAATTACCTAATAAAAATACTTTATATTTAACAAATTTCATAAAACCAATCATTTTTTATTTTAAAAAAATTAGAATAATGTTTTCGTTAGGATCCTATGATATTCAAAATATGGACAAATCTTCTACATCTATGATGATGATATTAGTTTCACTCGACTAATAGCTAATCAAATTAACCAAACTAAAGAAAACCAATTTGGTGATGGATGTCCGTTTGAGTCCAAAACCAATTCTAACGAATTGATAATCACTCCTACTTCAAACGAATAGTAGAGACTAATTTTAAGACGGAAGGTAATTACCAAATATATGTTAGAAAATGTTATTTTAAATGGGTTGAACTCATGTTATTCAAAATTATTTAAACAAAAACACTACCGGTCATAAAAGGTCAACTGTCCCTATCATATATACATAGAGCAAAAATACCGAGATTACCCCAAATACATCCCTATATACCCAAAATAATAATAACTTTATATTAAAAAAAAAATCTAAAAATACTTTTGTGTTTGTATGTATTTGGTCCAAAAAAACTTTAAAAAAATGTCTATGTAAAATTAAAAGTTATTATTGCATAATATATAATTTTAAATCTAATTTAATAGTTTTCATATGTCTATTAGACACAATAAATTAAAAATTAATTTTTTTAAGAGCTATTTTTTTTTTAATGTTTAAAGATCTCTCACTTCACTTATAATTCATCCCTAACTTAAAATTTAGGTTAAATTATCAATTTATTCTCTAAATTTTGAATTTTTTTTATCGGAACTTTTAAAAAAAATTCTTTTAAAATTAATTGATGGGTTGGATATTAATTTAAAAATTTTAATTTTATGTATGGTAAATTAAAAAAATTATAATTAAAGGAATAAATTTATAATTTTTTAAAATTTTAAAGTCTTTTCTTGCACTGCACGTTCTGTAAGGAGAGCACAGTAGCTAAGAACAACAACCCCAGTCAGAGCGACTCGAAAATCGGGAGTAGACTACAACGCCAGCATCCAAATTTTAGTCAACCCCATCTCTTTTCTCTTCCTACACACTTGGTTCATTGCTTCCTCCATGATTTTTCATATTTTTCAGTACAGAACATTAAGCATTCCTTTTGTAGAACACAGACAGGGCATCACCACAGACACTGAGGTTAATGTTCCTTCAGCTCAATCTCTTGTTGATGGGTGCAACATTTGCGAAAACATTTGCGAGCTTCTAGCTGAGAATCTGGTAAAGAATCATCAAGCTTTTCTTTTCTATAACTGATGAAAACGGGAAAACTAGCGTTTAATGCCGTGAAAAATCTTGTCACTCTGTTTTTCTTTGTTTCTGGGTTGGCTCTCTCGCTAGACTTGGGGGGTTAAAGAGACCCCAACTTACAATCATGAAAGACATGATGAGGTGGAGAAACATTGCAAATCTGTTCTGTCTTCTGCAGCTGAATTAAGCTCGGATACTTTAAGGTTTACTAGAATGAAGGAACAGCTTCAATTTGTGAATGGGGATTGTTGGCAAGATGGGGGAAAGTATCCTTTACCGCCTTTTAAGAATGGGTGTCGTGTGTTTTCTGTAAACAGGTTCTGTAGTAACCCTAATTTTTTCCCTTTGAAATTGATTTCGTTTTGGGTCACTGACATTGATCTTGTTTATCAAACTAAAAGGGCTGTTAGTTTAAGAGGGTTAGTGTCAATGGGCATTACTACGGATACTTTATCCTGTTCCTCTCAACATCCTAATTTTCAGTTTTGGCCTGGCCGTTCTGAGCTTATCCTTTCCTTTCAAGGAATCTATACTGAATCCAAGAAGAATGGTGGGGAAAGAGTGCTGTGTTTGTTGGGTCGTGGGACGTTACCTGCCCGTGATCAGGAATCGGGTGATCCGTGGCATTGGGCGAAAGATTTGAATGTGAATCATCACCAGTTGCCACTTCTCCAAGATGATAAAATTCTACTTGTTTTGCGCTATCCGATGAAGAATTCGCTGACAAGTCAGGTAATCCGAGGGGAAATGAGAAGTTTAAACACGAAGTCGAACGCTAAGTATTTCGACGACATTCACATTTTGTCTCAACTTGGAGATATGAACTATGATCGTGCATCTGAGAAAGTTGTGGACAAAGCATGTGGTTCATACCCTTACAATGATAAGTTAATGAAGAAAAACATTAGTATGTATCGAGGTTCTTATTTTTGTGAGGTTTTACAAGAAATAACGAGGGGTCAAGCTTTCACAATCCTCCCAAATTGGAGATGCAACTCTACAGATGAGTTTTGTACGAAACTTGGTTTGTTTATATCAATGATCAATAGTACAGATGAAAGTTTTAACGATGTGGGACTTTATTTGCAAGATGTGAAGTGTAAGACGCTTGGTTTGAACAAAAATGGCTTTTCTGTTAGTGTTTCAGCTGTCTTTCGGGCTGTTTTGCCGTCGGACAATCGCCACGCTGCTTGGAGAAGATCTGCACTTAATAATATGACTATGGTCTCTGAGGGAATTTAGAACTCTTCAAGTGGGCAGCTTTGTATGGTTGGTTGTGTTGGACTTGTTGATGCTGAGAAGATTTCGTGTGACTCGAGGATCTGCCTGTATATACCTATCTTGTTTACACTCGAACAACGAAGGATTCTTGTCGGTTCGATTTCAAGCATCGATGATAAGCCATTATACTCCCCTTTGTCATTTGAAATGTTATTAAGACCTACAGAGCTGTGGAGTCAGTTTAGGAACTCTCAACCATTTTATAGCTGTACAAAAATTGCTTCAGCTCGTGCTGTGCTTGAGAAATATGAGCCTTTTGGCTTGCGAACCGTCGTGAAGGAGTCATTGCTGCATTATCTCAAATGGGAAGACACAAACATATGATCTCAGTGAGTCTCTTCTCTTAGAAGATCTCACCCTTAATGTCCCTGCACTTGGTTCTCAAGCTTCCAGATTTCATGTTCAAATGGAAATTATCTCTGTTGGTTCGTTTTTCGTATGGGATTCGTCAAGGTTAAACGGAGCTAACTCAGACAGGGAAGCTTCATATCATGTTAAGCCTGAACACACTGAAAAGAAGCTGCTTGTTAATGTGTCTGCACTACTGGCATTCTCTGAACAGACAAGCAGCAACTTTTCTGCACTTTCCGTGGAGGGCATTTTCGATCCGCTCGTTAGAAAAATGTATCTAATTGGCTGCAGAGACATTTGTTCGTCCCCGTCCTGGAGAGTTTTACACGAGACCATGGATCTTGAAGATGGCTTGGATTGTCTCATTGAAGTGGTCGTGTTTTATCCTCCTACTACAGCTCCATGGTTTATCAATCCATCTGCAGTGATTTCCATTTCTAGCCAACGGTCAGAAGATGACCCTTTCTATTTCTGCCCAATAAAACTCGAAACGATGCCGATCATGTATAGGAGGCAGCGACAAGATATTCTTTCTCGTAAGATCGTTGAGGTTATACTCCAGATATTGACACTTTCCGTGGCTGATGCTTGCATCTTGAGCCAAATATTTTATATAAATGATAAGAGGGAGTCTGTTCCATACATATCTCTTGTTACTTTGGGAGTTCAGTCCCTTGGTTATACTCTTCCACTGGTCACTCGTGCTGAAGCTTACTTTATTCAACGAGGTTCCATATCTTATAACGAGTCGTATGATCTCGGAAATAACCTTTGGTTCATTGTAAAGCTTCAAGTTGTGATCTCACTTCTATTGACTTTGAGGCTTTGCCAGAAGGTTTTGAAATCTAGGATCAAGTTACTACGACAAGCTCCTCTTGAACCACATCGTGTCCCAAGTGATAAGTCGGTGCTTATTGCAACCTTCTTGATACATCTCGTCGGGTACGTTGCTATTCCCATTGTTCATACTTCAAGGACAGCCGAAATCCGATTAAAGAGTTCCATGATTCCTAGCAGAACTTCAGGTTCCGACGTCCTGCAGGGATGGGAAAAAGACCTACACGAATATGTAGGTCTTGTTCAAGATTTGTTCTTACATTGGCAACTTGTTATGGAAAATTGATTGCAAACCTCTTAGGAAGTTCTATTTCATTGGAATCACATTGGCCAGACTTCTCCCACACATCTATGACTTTGTGAATCCAAGCATGGATTTCTACTCTACATTTGGGGATGTTTCCATTCCTTTGATTGCGTTCATCCTTGCTGTCATCGTCTACGTTCAGCAGCAATTGAACTATGAGAAATTCAGTCGGGCTCTCATCGTCGGGCGGGTTAGGTTTCTTCCAAGAGCTTCCAAAATGTATCAAAGGTCGCCTTCCAAGTCATTATGAAGGTGAGCTTGCTTCTGCTGAAAAAGGTAATACCAAACATGAAGACATAGAACGACACCTAATAATTTACGAAGCATGTTGACATCAAAGTTGTTTTGATGCATCAAAAGTTATAAAAAATTTAGTCAAAGCAATGAAGTAATGGCTTATTCTTTGATTATGAGTCAATAAACTCGACTTGTTCAAAGTCGAACTTTAAGCATCATGTTGAAATCATGGAATGTGATAGTCATGCATTGAAAAGTTATTAATTGTGGAGCATTTCTTAGAAAAGAATTGTTTGTGCTTTTGTTTCTTTAAATAACCATCAAATGTACATTTTATTTAGGAAGTTGAAAAGTATTGTGATTGAAGTATTTTAAAGTGTGTTTTGCTGAGTGTTTCATTATGTTTTGGTTATTTATTTCAGTATGCTTCGATCGAGGGTAAAAAACAACATTGGCTTGTAGCTATCAAATTCTCATTTTTACTGTTTTTGGCTTACAAGAATGTTATATTATTTTGTTGGAATCCCACGTTGGCTAATATAAGTAAGAGACACTATCTCCATTGGTATGAGGCCTTTTGGAAAAATCAAAAGTTAAGTCATGAGAACTAATACTCAAAGTGGACAATATCATACTATTGTGGAGGTTCATTGTTCCTATCATGCCCCAATATCTTTTAAACATAAGATGTTGGGATGTGAATTTGTGAGATCACATTCCTTACAAGGGTGTGGAAACCTCTCCCTAGTAGACGTGTTTTAAAATCGTGAGGCTGACGATGATACGTAATGGGTCAAAGCGGACAATATCTACTAGCAGTCGGATTAGGCTGTTACGGAATTTGAATATTAGTCCTTTTATTCGAGGATATAAGACCATACCCTGTTGAGTCTATAGTTAGGTGGACGTGGACACTTTGATACATAGTTTCTAGCTTTATATTTTGAAAGGCTTGAATTAAAGGCATTTGGGTCATGAACCTTGAGCCAGTATGATTCTTTATGGTATGGGCTAAGGATGGCCCTTATTTTAATGTGCATTTTACTTGGTTGGTATCAAATTAAAACGAACCAAACAGAATAATAAAAGACCATTAGACCTTCAACTGGCTTTGTTTGGTGTTCATTTATTTGGATATTGGCTAGTTGATCTATGAATAGTGAATATTAATGTCCATAAAAGTTCAACACCCTTAAATGCCCATAAAACTCTACTGGACCTTTCTTTCCTACTCTTACTCATAGAAGGGCTTAATGTAGATCTATCAAAACCCATTAAGATATTAACTTTCTAAGCAATAATCTCATCAAATTAAGTTTTTTGAATGTTAGATATCTATCTGTCTGCCATATCATTAGTTGTAGTCAGCCCATTGTTTTGGCATCCACCTCTTCTTCTCCAACCGCTTTTGCATGTGTGACATCCCTCGTCGATTGGAGAGGAGAATGAAACATTTCTTATAAGGGCGTGGAAACCTCTCCTTAATAGACGTGTTTTAAAACTGTGAGACTGACGGTGATACGTAACAAGCCAAAGCGGACAATATCTGTTAACGGTGGACTTGAGTTGTTACAAATATTATCAGAGCTAGACATACAGCGGTGTGCCAGTGAGGACATTGGGCCCCTACGAAGGGTGGATTGTGAGATCCCACGTCGATTGGAGAGGAGAATAAAGCATTCCTTGTAAGGGTGTGAAAATCTCTACCTAACAGACGTGGTTTAAAACCGTGAGGCTGACGACAATATGTAATGGACCAAAGTGGACAATATCTACTAACGGAGGGCTTGAGCTATTACAACATGGCTTTTGACCCTTGCTCAAACACCCCTTCAACTTCCACAATATCAAAGAATATTTTTTTCTCCTTCCCAACCGATGTGAGATCTCACAATCCACTCCCCTTCGAGGCCCAACGTCCTCGCTAGCACTCGTTCCCTTTTCCAATTGATGTAGGACCCCCCAATCCACCCCATTCGAGGCTCAGCGTCCTTGCTGGCACACCGCCTCGTGTCCACCTCCCTTCGAGGCTCAACCTCCTCAATGGCACATCACCCGATATTTGGCTCGACCTCAAGGTTTTTAAAACGCATTTGCTAGGGAGAGGTTTCCACACCCATATAAAGAATGCTTTGTTCTCCTCCCAAACCGACGTGGAATCTTACATGCATGGTAATAGAAAGATGTAAAAATAACAAGCATCCAACAATTGGGAAAAGGTTAGTCAAAATGTGGTAGCCAAACTATATAATTTATTGCAGTTTGATGCAACAATAGAAAAGTCCAAGTAAGGACATATACATATAAGGAAGCTATATATTTAGGTTTCCCTTTTTAGTTTGCATTAAAGAACATTAATTCCAATGGTGAAAATTTATGATATAGTAAAAAAGTGCTGAAGGAAAATGAATAGCCTGTATTGAATCTGCTACACCTTTTCCTGTTTCTTTTTGCTCCTTTTATAGTTTTTGAGTTATCTTCAGCTTTAATCCATCAATGAAATAGTGGAAGGAGATTCATGGAGGCATTCTCAAGATCAACACATGGGGAAGATGATGAAAAAGCACTGAAATGGGCAGCACTGGAGAGACTTCCCACTTACAAACGCTTAAGAAAAGGTTTATTGACATCATCTCGTGGTGAGGCCAATGAAGTTGAAGTTGAAAAACTTGGTCTTCAAGAAAGGAAGAGATTGATGAAGACGCTGATGAGTGATACTGAACTAGACAATGAAAAACTCTTACTGAAGCTGAAGAAACGCCTTGATCGGTACGAATATGAATGAAAAGTTCCTACTGATATCATTTGTTGCATTTTCTGCTATTGTTCAACTAAAACTGATATCATTGGTTGTTATGGTGGCTAAAACTTAGAGTTGGAATTGATATTCCCACCATTGAAGTAAGATTTGAGCATCTTAGAGTTGAAGCTGAAGCCTATATTGGAGATAGAGCTTTGCCTACTCTCCTCAACTTTTTTGTCAACTTAGTGGAGGTAAGAACAACAAGCTTAGCATATGTATTTCATCCACAACAAAATATTTTCTAAACATCACCTGCAACTTTTTCTTTGAAGGGTTTTTTGGCAAATCTTCACATAGTGTCAAGTAAAAAGAAACAGCTGACAATTCTTCATGATGTTAGTGGAATCATTAAGCCAAGCAAGTAAGAAGAGATGACTTTCTAGTAATGGCTGCTCTCCAGATTGTTATTTGCTATGAACTTAAAAGCCTTTTGGGGGTAAAACTTTGCAGGATGACACTGCTTTTAGGCCTTCCAGGTTCGGGAAAAACGACACTTTTGATGGCTCTAGCAGGGAGGCTTGCTTCTGATTTGAAGGTAGGTTTGAGTTCAAGTTTTAAAAATCAGATTCTTAGACTTAAATTCATATGGGAAACCACTGAGTTTTGCTTCCAATAGGTCTCTGGGAAGGTGACTTATAATGGCTACAGCTTTAATGAGTTTGTTCCACAGAGAACTTCTGCCTATGTGAGCCAAAATGATGTCCATATTCCCGAAATGACTGTAAGAGAAATCTTGGCCTTTTCTGCAAGATATCAAGGGGTCGGGTTTCGTCACGGTCTCTCTCTCCCTCTCTCCCTGCAAGATTTTTCTGAGAAATTGCCATTTTCTTCCTTAGAAAGCTTTGTAGAAAAGTGTTGTAGTTATGACAACTAACAATAACGAAAGATATGACCAATAAGGGTAGGTTTTTGCAGAGTTGCTGGCAGAGTTGACAAGAAGGGAGAAAGAAGCAAACATTTTGCCTGACCCAGATATTGATGTGTTCATGAAGGTGTGACTTAGAGGCCTCTAAATAACTTTCTTAGCCACACAAAGAGATGAAAAAGCAAAAAAAAATTCATACAATTCTTTTGTAAATGTTGCAGGCAGCATCACTAGAAGGCCAAAAGAGAAGCGTGATCACAGATTATGTTCTGAAGGTATTGTTATCAGACATAAATCTTACTGAACTAACAGATATTGTCCTTCTTGGATTTTCTCTTTCGGGCTTCCCCTCAAGGTTTTTAAAACGCATCTACTAGGGAGAGGTTTCCACACCCTTATAAAGAATGTTTCGTTCTCCTCCCCAATTGATGTGGGATCTCACAATCCACCCCCCTTCGGGGCTCAACATCCTCGCTGGCACTCGGTCCATTCTCCAATGGATGTGGAACCTCCCAATCCACCCCCCCTTTGGGGCCCAGCACCCTTGTTGGCACACCGCCTCGTGTCCACCCCCTTTGAGGCTCCTCCTCGCTGGCACGTCAACTGGTGTCTGACTCTGATACCATTTGTAACGGCCCAAGCCCACTGCTAGCAGATATTGTCCTCTTTGGGCTTTCCCTTTTGAGCTTCCCCTCAAGGTTTTTAAAACGCGTCTACTAAGGAGAGATTTCCACACCCTTATAAAGAATTCTTCATTCTCCTCAACCGATGTGAGATCTCACATAGACTCTCTTTAATCAAATTTCTTTCTTCCTCCAACAACACAGGTGCTAGGATTAGACTTCTGTGCAGACACCAGAGTTGGAGATGAAATGATCAAAGGCATTTCAGGAGGACAGAAGAAGCGTCTCACCACAGGTTACCCATCAAAATCACTAAACAAGAAACTAGAAAGTTAACCAAGGAGCTTGAAATGATTTAGTTCCCTACGTGTTTTCAGGTGAGATACTTTGTGGGTCTACAAAGGTACTGTTCATGGACGACATATCTACAGGCCTAGACACTTCAACAACCTTTCAAGTTGTGAACTCAATCAAGCATTACGTTCATATTCTCAATGGAACTGCTATCATTTCCCTTCTCCAGCCCGCACCAGAAACTTTTGAACTGTTTGATGATATCATTCTCCTGTCTGAAGGCCAAATAGTGTACCAAGGTCCCTGCCAGAAAGTCCTTGAGTTCTTTGAGTTCATGGGCTTCAAATGTCCTGAAAGGAAAGTAGTGGCAGACTATTTGCAAGAAGTATGTACCTATAAAGTGTAGAGTTCTTCTTTTATTACATTGT